AAGAAGGAAAGAGAAAGGAGGGGCTCAGGGATGAAGAGCACTGACTGCCCTTGCAGAGGGCCTGGGGTCTGACACCCTCTTCTGGCCTCCACATTGCACACATGGTGCACTTACATACATGCAGGCAAAGCACTTGTACACATAAAATAAAAACAAATAAATCCAAATAAATAAGCAAATCCAAGAAAGTGGGGTTGTTTGGTGTTTTTTTCTTAAAAGAAGCTATGAGTCATTCAGTATGTTTTTTAAAAATTTTTTAAAAATTATTTTTATTTCATGTGTATGAGTGTATTGCCTGCATGTATGTGAGGACACCCGTGTCGTGCAATGCTGCAGAGGTCAGAAGAGGGCTTCGGATTCCCCTGGAACTGGAGTTAAGGACGGCTCTTAGCTGCCATGTGGGTGCTGGGAATCAAACCTGGGTCCTCTGCAAGAGCAGCCAGTGCTATGTATGTGCCGCCACACCCAGTCCAGTGTTTTGTTTTGTTTTGGGTTTTTTTGGTCTATTTGAGACAGGGTCTCCCTGTAACCCCAGCTGGCCTGGAACTCAAGGAGAGCCACCTGCCTTGCTGCCAAGTGCTGGGATTAAAGGCCTGTGCCACCACATCCAACTTCCAGTTTTTTAAAGATTTATTTATGTGAAAAAAAAAGATTTGTTTATGTGTGTGTGTATGGCTATGTGTATAAAACTTGTGTGCAATGCCTGCAGAGGCCAGAAGAGAGAGTCAGAGCCCCTGTAACTGGAGTTAGCTGGAGTTAGGTTGTGAGCTGCTCAGCACAGGTACTGGAAACAACTCAGTCTTCTGCAAGAGTAGTGTATAGTCTTAGCTGAACAGTCTCTCCAACGCCTATGCTAGTTAGTTTTATTACTTTTTAATTGTGCCAACTTGACCCAATCACCTGGAATCACCTGAGAAGAAAGTCTCAGTGAGGGACTGTGTAGAGCAGGTTGACCTAAGGGCAGGGCTGTGGCGGGGGGTTGTCTTGATTTTGTCAACTGATGTGGGCAGACCCAGCCAATTTTAAAATTCGGGCCACACCATTTCATGGTTTGTGCTGTGAACTGTATGAAAAAGAGGGAGCTGACGGCAGGGCACACACAGTCACTGCTCTCTGCACTTGGCTGTGGATGTGACCAGCTGCTTCCAGTTCCTGCCACCTGGACTGCCCCCATGATGGACTGTGGCCTGGAATCCTGAGCCAATTCAGTCCCTTCTCCCCTAAATTGCTTTGTCGGGGTATTTTATTATAGCAACAGAAACAACACTGAGAGACAATAAAGACTAAAAGTGGGGCTGGAGAGATGCCTCAGAGCTTAAGAGCACTGGCTGCTCCTGCAGAGGACCCAGGTTTGGTTCCCAGCACCCACATGGCAGCTAACAACCAGCTGTCACTACTATTCCAGGAGATTCAGCACTTTCTTCTGGCCCCTGCAGGTGTTGCATGACACAGATGCACCTATATACATGCACGTTCTAGGACATGCGTGCAGTTTGTGTGTGTGTGTGTGTGTGTGTGTACATGTGTGTGGACACAGGGTAGCCTTAGGTGTCTTCCTCAATTGCCCTCCACCTTATGTTTTTGAAACAGTGTCTCTCACTGACCCTGGAGCTCACCAACTTGGCTAGGCTGGCTGACCAGCCAGATCCTGGGATCCACCTGTCTGGGCTTCCCCAGTACCAAGATTACAAATGCATGCCAGCATGTCTGGCTTTTATGTCTGTGCTGGAGAGCTGAACTCAGGTTCTTGTGTTTGCCAGGTGCTTTAACCACTGAGCTCTCTGCAGCCCAACCAGTGCAACTTTAGGATGCATAAGGAAAGGTGCTTACCAGGGAGATGGAGCCGTGGCTAAAGCCAATGACCACCCTACCCTGCTTCTGGATGGACACAGCACATGTGGGCATCTCTCCTTTGACACTGGACAAACGGCACGTCTCCTGCAGTTTTCCTGTGGCTGAGCTCCACAGACTGACCACACCACCCTTGGACACTGTCAGCAGTCTGGCTTGGGAAGCCAACACGGCCGCACATGCCCAAGGGTCAGAAGCATCTCCCAAGATTCGGAAAGCCAGCTGGGCTGTTTCTAGATTCCATGCGTTGATCTAATACAGTCACAGAGAGGGAGAGCAATGTCTGGTTACTTCCTATTGCTGGGATAAAAACGCAGACCAAAACCAACTTGGGGTGGAAAGGGTTTACTTTATCTTACATCTCCCAGGTCACACAATTCATCACTGAGGGAGCTCAGGGAAGGAACTGGGAAACCTGGAGGCAGGAATTGAAGCACAGACCACAGAGGAATGCTCCTTGGCACCTGTTCAACCTGCTTTCTTATATAACACATACAGCATGCCCGGAGCGGCACTGCTCACTGTGGGCTGAGACCTTTCACATCACTGAGCAATCTGGAAAATGCTCCACAGACATACACCCTCTGCACATACATACACACAGCACACACATACACATACAGAATATACACACCACACACACAAACACATAACACACACACCTGGGACACTAAGGAAGGAGGAACATAAATTTGGAGCAGCCAGGAAATGTAGACATTATCTTCAAAAAGGAAAATATAGGTTATGGAGAGGGCTCAGTGGGTAAAGTGCTTGCCACATGGCCATGAGGACTGAGTTTGAATCCCCAGAATTCACATCAAGTGGAGTGTGGTGGCGCATGTGGAATCCCAGTGCTCCTATTGGGAGAAAGGTTGGGAGACCAAGAACCCTGAATGCTCTGAAACCAGCCTGGATCATGCAGAGCCACCATTAAGAGATTTTTGCCTCAAAACAAGGTGGAAGGTAAGGACCAACACCTGAGTTTGCTCTGGGTCCACACACATGCTGTGGCATGTATGCATCTGCCCTCACACATCCATACAAAAAGAAAAAAAAAACATGAGGTTCAGGTAAAGCAGTATTTGGAGGGAAATTGATAGCCCTAAAATGGTTATGTATTAGAAAAAAGGAAAGATCTCAAATCTTAGGGCCAGGAAGAAACTATCAGATAATGTAATCTAAATATGAAAATTGAAACCTCTCCTGACACTGTTTTATTTTGCTTTTGTCTGTATGAGTGGGAGGGTCATATACATATGTGTTCATGTGTGCATATGTGGGCATATGTGTGGAGACCAGAGGCCAACATTTGGCATCTTCCTCTATCACTCTCCACCTTATATTTTTTATTAGTCTGTGTATTGTGTGCATGGATGCACATGGCACAGCGGGCATACAGAGGTCAGAGGACAACTCTGTGGAGTCAGTTCTCTCCTTCCACCTTTACATGGTCTGCAAGGAATGAATTCAGGTTGCTATGTTTGTGTGGTACACACCTTCACCCTGTGAGCCATCTCACCAATCCCCTGTCTTTTTTTTCTTTAACCAGAATAGCCCAAGCTAGTCTGGAACATACAGCAATCCTTCAGCCTCTGCCTCTCCACTGCTGGGATTCCAGTTGTGAGCTGCTCTACCCAGTTTCCAGCACTTTATTTAGTGCTGTACCCTTGTTTACAAGCATATGATATACCCTGTATGAGAGAGACCCTCTGTAATGGTTAGTTTTCATTGTGAACTCAACATAGTCTATAATCACCTGGGAAGAGCATCTCAATGAGGGACTATCTCCATCATGTTGGCTTGTTGGGAGCTGTCTTATTTGCATTGAAGGGGAGACCTGCCCACAGTAGGTGGCACATTCCCTGTGTTTGGGTCCTGGATGGCATGGAGCACTGCATGCATGCATTCATCCTTTCTTCTCTCTCTCTCTCTCTCTCTCTTTTTTTTTGTCTTTTTTGAGACAGGGTCTCCCTTGTAGCCCCAGCTGGCCTGGAACTCATTATGTAGACCAGGCTGGCCTCAAATTCACAGCAATCCACCCGTGGATTGACCCAACGATGGATTCAAAACAAATTTAGATTGGAAAAAAATAAGCAAAATAGAGTTGGGTATGGTTAATGCATGCCTCCCAAGTGCTGGGACTAAAGGCCTATGCCACCGCGCCCGGTCCTTTCTGCTCTTGACCATGGCTGTGACTGGCTGCATCAAGTTACTGCCACCTAGACTTCCCAGCAGTGATGGACTGTGACCTGGAACTGTGTGCTAAGATAAGCCCTTCCCTCAGTTGCTTTGTGTTAGGGTATTTTATCACAACAGGAAACAAAACTAGGCACTGTCCTGATGGAAATAGTCCAGCCCACCTGGGAAGGCTCTGCTCTTGGTCTCCTTTCTGAGCAAGATGAGTTCATTACCTTTGAGCCACATGTTGAGTACACAACTTGGTTTGTCTCGTCCATGTGAAAGTCCCAGATCTGAGGCTCAGTGGGATTTGTTGAGCCACCATCCAAAACCATGAATTTCTCTTGGCCAGAGAGCAGGTTCCACAGACGTAGAGTGCAGTCCTTTGATGCAGAGATGGCGAGAGTTCCTTGGGCGAACACTGCCACACACTTCACTTCAGCTGCAGTGGAACACACCATGGAGAGCCTATTAGCCAGGGCCCAGTGGTCCTGGTACCTACTGCCATGCCTGCCAGCTCAGAAAGACCCTGGTTAACAATGAAACAATGGATTCAAAAAAATTCAGGTTGGAAAAAAATAAGCAAAATAAAGGGAGTTGAGTGTGGTTGGTGCACGCATGCAATCCCAACACTGGAGACTGAGGCAGGAGGCCTGCAACAAGTTCAAGGCTAGCCTGGGCTACACAGCAAAACTGGAACAGGAGAGATGGCCCAGTGGTTAAAAGCACTTGTAGAGGACCTGGGTTCAGTTCCCAGCACTCATATGGCAGCTAACAACCATTTATAACTCCAGTTCCAGAAGATCTAACACCCTCTTGTGTCCTTGGTGGGCACTGTATGCATGGATGCACTGACATACATGCAGGCAAAACATACATATAAACTAATTATAAAATCTAAAATAAATAACTGAATGAGTAAATAAAAGGCTTGTTTGCAGCCACTATGCAAGGAGGGTTAGGGTGACACAGCTCTAGCAAACTGGTGCAGAGCAAAGCCCAGAGTTTTCGCAAAGGGGTGTGAATCTTCAGGGTGACTGACTTTGGATGACCCACCCCTCATCCTGCTCCTCACCTGTGTGCCCCATTAGAACGTGGACCACCTGCTGCTCCTGCATGTCCCACACAGCCACAACTCCATCCTGGGTGCCCACAACAAGCAGCTTCTCTTCCAGGCTCCATGCCATGGCAGTGATGCCTGCAGATATGCAGAGACCACAGTGGAGCTCAGTACCTACAGCTCAACTAGCAGATCTTCCGAGGGCTCCGTTCCATGGCCAGGAAACCAAGTTAGATAGACCACTCAGCCAGAAGGGGCAGGGTGGGGGGGGTGTAGGAGGCGCTGGCAGACGGTGGGTCTGTGGTCTACCTGGGACATTTTAACTTATATTTAGTGATTTAGTGACAGTGTGTGTGTGTGTGTGTGTGTGTGTGTGTGTGTGCGTGTATGTACCATGGGGTCTACCTGGGACATTTTAACTTATATTTAGTGATTTAGTGACCGTGTGTGTGTGTGTGTGTGTGTGTGTGTGTGTGTGTGTGCGTGTATGTACCATGGCCTATGTAGGTCAGAGGACAATTTTCTCCTTTCATGTGGGTCCCAGGGATCAAGCTCAGCACCTCAGTCTTGGTGGCAAGCACCTTCACCTGGTGAGTCATCTCACCGGCCCCTCCAGGTGACATTTACAGCAAGTGCTTTACCTACTAAGCCATCTCCTCAGGCTGTACAAGACTGGTTTTGGGTCCTCAGAACCCAAGTAAAACCAGACAGAGTAGTGTTGCACATCTGTAACCTCAGCGCTCCAAAGGAAGGGAGAGATGGGAGAGTCCCTGGAAGTTTGCAGGTCAGGTGACCTGGTATATGCGGCAGTGAACAAGAGATGCTACCTCAGACAGGGTGGAAGACAAAGGTAGACACCCAAGGTTATCCTCTAACCTCCGCAGGCACCCAATGGGGCTCATTCTGTCTCTTTCTCTGCCTGTCTCTCTCTCTCTCTCTCTCTCTCTCTCTCTCTCTCTCTCACACACACACACACACACACACACACAAAGATTTTAAAGTCAGGTGTGGTGGCACGTGTTTTTAATCCCAGCACTCAGGTGGCAGAGGCAGTTGGATCTCTGTGAGATCGAGGTCAGCTTGGTCTATATAAAAACAGATGGGGGTGCTGGAGAGATGGCTCCCACTTGATGGTGCCCACTTGATCTCACCCAAAGTCAGGCAGCTCATGGCTGTCTGTAATTCCAGTTCAAGGGCATTTGACACCCACTTCTGGCCTCCAAAGGCACTGCCCTCACATACACAAATTCACACACAGACTTACAGACAGATATATAATTAAAAATAAATAATAAATCTGGGTCTGGAGAGATGGCTCAGCGGTTAAGGGCACTAGCTGCTCTTGCAGAGGACCCGGGTTCAGTTTCCAGCACACACAGCAGCTAACAACCATCCTAACTCTAGTCCCAGGGAATCCGATGCCCTTTTCTGACCTCCACAGGGATTGAATGGCACTGGTGAGCTTAATACATGCAGGCAATATACGCATACACATAAGATAAAAATGACAAATAAAATAATAAATAAATAATAAATCTAAAAAAAGATTTTAAAGGGGGCTAAATCACAGCTTGGTCAGCAGTCCTTATCCAGGGGTAATTCTGTTTCCCCCCTGGAATTCTGGGTAACTCCGGATACATTTTTAGGTGTTGTAGTTCGGAACAAAGATGTGTGTGGCATCTGGCCTGGGACCAGAAACTGATAAAAGTCTGTCATTCCAGAACTTAGGAGACTGAGGCAGGAGGATTGTCAAGCACAATTGTTAGGCCCAACCTGGACTGTGCAGTGAGTTCCACACCAGCCTGAGATGCCAAGTGACAGCCTGCCTCAGACAGACAAAAAAGGGGCTGTGAGGGGGGTTCAGCAGGCAAAAGTACCTGCGCCTAAAACCTGGCAATGTGAGTTCCAAGCCCAGATCCATGAAAAGATGGCAGGAGAGAACTGAGTCCCCAATGTTGTCCTCTGACTTCACACACACACACACACACACACACCAATAAAACAAATCAATTTAAAACACAAGAAAAGAAGAAGGAGAAAGATGAGCAAGAGGAGAAGAGGAGGAAAAGCAGGAAGAAATGAGGGAGGAAGGGAGGAGACGGGGAAGAAGAGGAGGAGGAAGAGACAGAGGGTTGTCAATAGTCTGGGCAAGCACTCTGTGCTGGGTGGATTTGTGTTAGAATGTCCTGAAGAGAGGCACCTAGCTACTTCTCAGAAAGCACCAGCCTACGGCCTGGGGAGACGCTTGGTGGATACAGCGCTTGACACTCAAGCATGAGGACCAGAGTTTGGATCCCAGAGCCCAAGTGAATACGGAATGGGTGTGGCGGCTCTCCTGCACCTCCATCACTCTGAAGACAGAAGGGGGATCATGGAGCAGGCTGGCTGACTAGAGGAGCCATATTGGAGCTCTGGCTTCAATTGACAGAGGCTGCCTCAATGAATAAGGGGGAGTGATAGAGGAATTCAGTGTCAACCAGGGACCTCCACATGGACCACACACATGTGGTGTGCCTATACACATGCAAACATGTATACACATACATACACACACACACACGATAAGAACAAACAAGTGTATTCATAAAGAAACCAGAGTTTTCTGAATGCATTTGAATGAGTCTTTTTCTTTCTATGTGCCTCAGTTTCCCCAGATGTAAAGTGGCTGGTGGAAGCTGTTAAACCAGAGCCAGTCCAGCTAAGCAGACCTGATATTTTCTTTTGTTTCTTTTTCTTCTTCTTTTTTCTTCTCATACACTTGGACCTTGGAAACATTGACTTACAATTTTCCCCTTAAAAATGATGAAATGGAAGCCAGACATGGTGGTGCATGCCTTTAATCTCAGCAGAGACAGGCAGATCTCAGTGAGTTCAAGGCCAGCCTAGTCTATATAGCGAGTTCCAGGACAGCTGGGGCTACAGGGAGACCCTGTCTCAAAAAAAAAAAAAAGAGGAAATGTAATCCCAGAGTGGGGAGGGCTCTTCCCCAACACAACTCAGAAGCATAAAACACTTCCCTGTCTCAGAGACAATGTGAACATCACTCTCTTAGGTAACTTCCTTTGCCAATACGGTGGCAGACATCATTGATCTATCACCACATCACAGCTCCATCTATGATTGTGTCCCCAGCCATTTTAGGGTTCTTTGTTCAGTAAGAAAATCCCAAAGCCTCATGTTTTTATCTGAAAGTATAGTTGCCCACACACAAACTCAATTCCCAGAACTTCAAACGAGAGAGAGAGAGAGAGAGAGAGGAGAGAGGAGAGAAAAGAAAATAGCTATGCTCATGGAGACACTGTTTCTTAGGTGGCTTACAGTTGGAGATGTCCTAGGTAATGTGGTAAGGGTAGAAATGAGAAGCTTGTCTAGGTGATGCTTCAAAAAGGAGGAGGCCTGCATCCATCTTCCCCTTTCCCCACTTCCTGGAATGTCACTGTGATGGTAAGAGCTGCAGCAGCCACTGTGGGCAAGAAGAGTCACACTAAAAGCATCTTACCTGTGCTACTACAGGAGAGGCAGGAGCTGGTTTTGTTTAAAGCACTACTGTCTTGGCCTCAACCTCCACTCTAACAAACGCAACCTTTCACACCCCACCAACTTCCCTGCCAGAGCTCTTCTCCACACAGCATGCTGCACTGGGTCGGGTCCTCTCCACACATGCCACTGAGCAGTCCCAATCTCTATTTTGGAAATAAGGTGTTGGAGAGAGCGGCTTTTTCTATCAGCACACGAGGCACACGAACACTGGAACAGTGAGCTGGTTGTATGTGGGTCTTGAAATGGATGTGAGGATGTGTGCATGGGGAAAGAACAGGAAGGTGAGCGAGGTGGGGGGGTAGGCGGTGGGTAAGTGAGGGGGTGGCAGGCTCCTCAGGCGCATGGTAAAGCGTGGAGAGGTAGGGAGATCTCGTAGTTGCTAAGTGGCTGAGAGCACAGGTGGGTGGAGAAAGCAGGGATGGGAGGTGGCCTGGTGAGGACCGAGGAAAGATGTGGCCGGCGGAGAGTTGAAAGAGTGGGTGCAGGTGGCAGGAGGGGAACCGAATGAAAGAGTGGGGGACTAAAGGGTGGATAGAAAATAGGGTAGAGGTGCTGGAGAGATGGCTCAGCGGTTAAGAGCACTGACTGCTCTTGCAGAGGACCCGGGTTCGATTCCCAGCACCCACATGGCGGCAGTGAATCATCCTTAACTCCAGTTCCAGGGGAATCCGAGGCCCTTTTCTGACTTCTGTGGCATTGCACGACACGGGTGCACTCACATACATGTGATACACTTGTACACAGAAAATAAAAATAAATAATTTTTTTTTAAAAAAAGAAAATAGGGTAGGGTGGGGTGGTTGGGTGGATGGGTGGATGGAAAAAGGATGGGTAGGTGGATGGACAGATAAGTGGATGGGTGGATGGTTGATGAATGTTTAGATAGGTGGGTGGTGGATGGATGGATGGATGGTTAGACTGGTGGATCGGTGGGTGGATGGACTTATGGATGGATGAGTGGGTGGATGGATAGATGGTTAGATTGGTGGATAGGTGGATGGGCAGATGGATGGATGGATGAACAGATGAACTAACAAAGGGTGACAAGAACTCTGCATAGCACATGAGCAGATGGGTAGATACAACTGTAGATGGGTAGAAGGATGGATGGGTGGACCAGTGGTGGTATGTTGGTGGATGGATGAGCAGAAGGGTGAAAGGGTGGGCTGATAGATGGTGGGTGGGTGGGTGGGTGGTGTGTAGATGGGTGGGTGAATTGTATGGAAGGCAAGAGAGGATAAAAATGTGCCAAAGGCCAAGTTCCCTGATGGTCTCGTGCCTCAGCTGTGTCCCATCAGCCTGTGAGGGCCAGCGAGGCTTCCATTCCACAGACCACCTGACGTGAACCTACAACTAGCAGAAGCCGCACTTAAATCTTTGAAACAGAATCACAGAGGCATCCGCCAGCTCCAGGCTCATTAGCAGTATTTACAGCAGTGATCTAAAATCTCCGGTTGACCAAGAAAGCCTAGTCAGCATGAGGCAGTGAGGAGGGCCCAGGGGGCACACTGGGTGCTCCTGCCTGTCCAGGGTTGGGGAGACCCCAGAGAACAGCCCCAAACACCTGGCAGCTGGTGCCCCTGGTACGTGGCAACCCAGCACAACTTTCATATTGGAACACTCACCTTTGTGACACCCGGTGAGAGCCGCTAGCAGAGGTCCTCCGGGTGGTTGTAGGAATCCTGCCAAGGGCACCAGCATGGGGTGTGGGCAGGTGCGGAACCAGCTCTGGGCTTGTTGGCACAACTGCCCCACCAGGGCTGGATGTGATGAAGCAAAATAAAGGAGTCTGGCCAGGAGTTCAGTGCATAGGATGCTCCTCTCTGAAACAAAAGGAGGGTATCACTTGTCCGGCTGAATTTAAGCAATGCTGAGCCCCTACCCCCACAGGGGCTGCAGGAAGAAGGAATCAGGGCAGCTAAACCCCAGCACCATCATCTCCCCTACCTCCCCGTCTGCTGTCTATCCATCACCCCTGCTTTACTGTACCTGGCAGATTCTGCCCTGCAGACTTTCCTGATGCTGCTCCCCCTGCTTGGAGCACTTCTGTCAGTCCCTTCCTCCAGTCAGTTACTAACTCCTCCAAAGGTCACTTCTGAATTAATTAACTAACTATTGAACTCGTGGGCTCAAGAGATTCTCTTACCTCAGACTCCAAAATAGCTGGGACCACAGGTGCATGGATAGGTAAATGGGATGAAGAAAAGATGGAGGATGGATTGATAGATCAATGGGTATATGGATGGGTATATGGATGGGTAGGTGAATGGGTGTATGGGTGGGTGGATGGATGGGCGAATGGATGGGTGAATGGATGGGCAGGCGAATGGGTAGATGGATGGGTGGATGGGTGGGCGGGTGAATGGGTGTATGGATGGGTGAATGGATGGATAGGTGGATGGGCAGGTGAATGGGTGGATGGGTGGGTGGATGGATTGGGCAGGTGAATGGGTGGATGGGTGGGTGAATGGATGGGTGGATGGATGGATAGCTGTATGCATGGGTAGATGGATGAGTGCAGTCATACTGGACCCTGAGTCAACAGCAGCAGTAGAAACATTGACCCTGTCCTGTGTCCCCTGCAGGGCCCTTTTCCAAGCTCAAGGAAAGTGTAGAGAGGTCATGGGTGCCCAGTGGCACCCTCTGATGGTGATAATTGTTACCATGGTTGCTCTTAGGTTGAAACAATCTGGGGTTGCCCTGAGAGTTTTGCAAAGATCTTGCTAAGTCGCGTGAGTTATGGCTCAACTGGCAGAGTGTTTGCCTAGTGTGCACGAAGCCCTGGGCTCCATCCTAGCACCACGTACACCAGGTGTGGTGGCCATGCCTGTCATCCCAGCACTTGGAAGCAGGAGGATTAGGAGTTCAAGGTCATCCTTAGCTTCCATAAAACATTCAAAGCCACCCTGGGCTACATGAGACCCTGTCTCAAAAAACAAAGTTACTTTACTTGGATTCATCAGTTAAATGTTTCTAGAATGTTCTTCTGAGATGTGACTCTAGTGAAGTTTTACAGGAACATCAGATGTTATTTCAGAGTATTTCAAAGCTGCATGAGGCCCTGTCTCAATAAACAAAGTTACTTTACTTGGATTCGTCAGTTAAATGTTTCTAGAATGTTCTTCTGAGATGTGACTCTAGTGAAGTTTTACAGGAACATCAGATGTTATTTCAGAGTATTTCAAACACCAGTGGTGATATTGGTGTCCTCCCTCCCTCCTTCGCTCCCTCCCTTCTTTCTCATACACACACACACACACACACATACATACATACATACACACATACACATACATACATACACACACACCACACACATAATACACACATACACACACACCACACACCACACACACATACACATACATACACATACATACACACATACACACGTACACATACACACACATACACACATACACATACATACACATACATACACACACACGTACACATACACACACACACATACACATACATACACACGTACACATACATACACATACACACATACACACATACACATACATACACACACACGTACACATACACACACACATACACATACATACACACATACACACGTACACATACATACACATACACACATACACACATACACACACATACATACACATACATACACACATACACATACACATACTTACACACACATACATACACATACACACATACACATACTTACACATACACACATACACACACATACACACACCACACACCACACACACATACACATACACATACATACACACGTACACATACTTACACATACATACACACATACATACACACATACACACACACCACACACACACATACACACACACACACACACACACACAAACTACCAACTATACCTACAGTGAAACACAATTCAGGTAGGGTTACTCTGATGCGAGTAACCCTATAGATGAACTTCAAAGACGTCGAACCAAGTCAGTCATGAGGGACAAATAACATATGAAGTCACTTACAGGAAGCACCAAGAGCCTTTGGGTTCACAGAGGCAGAAAGTAGCTTGGGGGGCAGGACCTTGGGAGGGTTATGGTGAGTGAGGCTTTTATAGGGACAGTATCTTAGCTTGGGAAGCCAAAAATCTTCTGTGCACGGCTATGTAACAGGGCACCTCCTTGACTGTGTTAGAGTTTAGGCCGACTCTAGTCTCTGAAATTATCAGGCAGTTGGCTCAGGGTATGGGAACACGTGTCAGCTGGACCCTGGTTGTTTTGGGAACAGGTCAAAGTATTCCGGAATGCACCTGTTAACTGAAGATTTATGGCTTTATGCTTGGCTTGCTTCTGAAAAATAGTAATTGTTACTTAATAGAATAGAAATTGCTAAGGGGGCTCTCCACCTATAAGCTTGGGGACTTAAACGTTTCACCCCTGGTTATGGTTTTTCTCTATAAACGCTTACCCCAGAGATGGCTTGGTGCTACACTCTTGGGTTCCTGACACCCTTGTGTAGTAACCCTGGCCAGTATCGACTTTCATTTGGCAAAACTTCAAGTGGTCTTCTCTGGGGAGTACCCCACAACAGCTACATGAATGAACCGCATGCCACAGAATCCTTAACATGGTTGTGATGGGGGCTGGGGAAGTGGTTCAGCTGGTCAAGTGCTATCTTTACAGGCCTGAGGACTTGAGTTTGGTCTGAGGCACCATGCAAAAGCCCAGCATGGTGGCATGCCTCTATAATCCCAGCACTGGGAAGGCAGAGACCAGGGTACCTGGGGCTCACTGACCAGTCGGTCCAGCTGAAGCCATGAGCCACAGTTCACTGAGAGACCTTGTCTCAAAAAATAAGTGGCACACAACTTTAATCCCAGCACTCGGGAGGCAGATGCAGGTGGATCTCTGAGGAGAGGGCCAAGACAGTTCAGTAGGTAAAGGTGCTTGATTCCCAGAACACACATGAAGGGGTAAGGACCAACAAGTCCACAGAGTAGTTCTGTGACCTACACATATGCAACCCCGCCCCCCACTAACAAACAAATAAATAAATTGAAGAAATAAAAAAAATAAAAAGGTGGAGAGCAAATAAGACACCGGATATCAACCTCTGGCCTCCACATGCACATTCACACCTGTCTAAGCATGCCCAGACGTGTATGTACACACAGACACAAAAAAGATGACTTGGAGGACTGGCAAGAGGGCTCAGTGGGTAAAGGTGGTTGCCACCAAGTCTGATGACCTGAATTCAATTCCAGGGTATGTGGTGGAAGGAGAGACCTGACTCCTGCAAGTTGTCTCTGGCCTCCACATGAGTACCCACAGACATGAGTGTGCACACACACACACACACACAAATATAATTTAAAGAATTAACTCAATTAAGAAACAGGGAAAAAAGTTTTAAAAATAAGTAAAAAGAGTCTCGGCGATTAGTAAACCATACTTCTGGTTGTGTCTTGGATGGGTGTGTCTATTATTGGTTTGTCTTTGAGAGTGTGTCTTTGTGGAGTGTGTCTTTCTTTGGTGGGTGGGAGAAAGCCATGGTAGGCTTGGGCAGGGAAGCTCCATTCTGGACTCCAGACCCTTCTCTCTGTTTCCCATCTGCCCAGAGAGAACAAAAGCCTCCTCTGAGTCCTGCCACCATGATGCTTCCCACTCAACTGCACAGAACCACCGAGATCTGAGCCCTCTGAAACCATGAGCCAAGATAAGCCCCTCCTCCCACAGGTTGTTTCATTCATAGCAGCTAGGAAAGTAACAAACAGCCTGTGACTCATTTACAGAGTGCTGCTTTGAAGCAGGGGCCCCTCCTCCTCCCCCCTAAAGCACTGGGATGAAGGTGGCTAAGCTGTGTTCAAGATCCAAGGATCTTCCACCTGATGTGTTTTGTGGCAATCAGAAGACAACTTGCAGGAACTGTTCTTTTCCTTCACCATGTGGGTCCCAGGGATCAGACTCAGGTCATCACACTTAGCAGCTGAGCCGTCTTGATGTACCCCCCCCCCAACACACACACACACACACACACACACACACACACACACACAGACACACACACACATGCACGCACGCACGTGCACACACACACAGTCTCTCTGTCTCTCACTGAACTTGGAGCTCACTGATTTGACTAGCCTGAGTGGCCAGTGAGATTTAGTGATCTGCCTGGCTCCACCGCCTTGGATTACAGATGTGTGCTGCTGCACCCAGCTTTTATGTGGGTGCTGGGGATTTGGACTCAGCATCTCATGCTTACACAGCAATTACTTCACTAACTGAGCTATTTCCCTAGCCCTATCTATTTTTTAAAAAATGTTTTCTTTATTATTTTTATTTTATGTATATTCATGTATTGCTTGCATGTATATAAGTGCACTCATGTTGTGCAATGCTGACGGAGGTCAGAAGAGGGCATCTTATCCCTTGGAACTGGAGTCATGCACGGTTGTTAGCCACCATGTGGGTGCTGGGAATTGAATCCAGGTCCTCTGCAAGAGCAGCCAGTGCTCTTAGCCAATGAGCCATCTGTCCAGCTGCCCCCCCCCCCTTCTGACAAGGTCTCAGGTAGCTAAAGCTGACCTCAAAACTGCTATGCAGCTGAGGCTGACCCTGAAGTCCTGATCTTCCTCCCTCTACCTGTTGAGTGTCAGGACGGGTACGCACCTCTGACTCCACTCTCACTCTTCCTGACTGTTCTTGCTTTGGGGCACCACCTCTGTGACTTGTCTAAAGTTCCAGGAACAGAGTGCCCTGTCGCCCTGGTGCCAGCAGGATCCCACAGAGCCAGAACTGAGACAATGATCAACCAGACTGCACTGCACCAGTGCCTGCCCCCGCCACCCCCACTTTCTTTGTTCCTTGGAACAAAGCCTACACCTACTGTGAATGTAGCACTCAGTCTTCCAGCCACCTGACTGTTGCTTATGTCCCTGGTGTTCCTGTCTCATATTCTCTGCTACATTTGTTTGTTTATCTGTTTGGGGTTTTTTTTTTGTTTGTTTTTTTTTTGTTTTTTTTTTTTGGTCTTTTTGAGACAGGGTCTCCCTGTAGCCCCAGCTGTCCTGGAACTCACTATGGAGACCAGGCTGGCCTTGAACTCACGGAGATCCGCCTGCCTCTGCCTCCCGAGTGCTGGGACTACAGGTGTGTGCCACCACACCCGGCTCGTTTCTTTGTTTTTTGAGACAGGGTCTTGTATAACCCAGGCTGACTTCAAACTCACTAACTGGCCGAGGATGACCTTGAACTCCTGATACTCCTGCCTCAGCCTTCCCAGTGCTAAGATGACAGCACATCTGCTTGTGACTCGGCCTGTTTCCTGTTGGGTCGGTTGGGCAGCTAAGGTATTCTGTTGGGAATCCCAGTTTTGGGCTCTAGCCTGGGACTCCAGTAACAGTTCACTCCTCAGCACCAAAGTCAAATAAAATACCATCCTAGGTCCAGCAAGAGGCCTCAGTGGGGAAAGGTGATTGCCTCCAAACCTTAAGACCTGTATTTGATCCCCAAAATACCCACACAGTGGAAGGAGAGAACCAATTCTTGAAAGTTCTCCTCTGCCATCCACACACGTACCATGGCACGCATGTGTCTACATACATACACAGAAAAAAAACTTTTGATGTGGGGCTGGAGAGATGGGCTCAGCGGTTAAGAGCACTGACTGCTCTTGCAGAGGACCCGGGTTTGATTCCCAGCACCCACATGGCAGCTGCGAACCATCCTTAACTCCAGTTCTCGGGGAATCTGAAGCCCACTTCTGACCTCCACGGCACTGCACGACACAGGTGCACTCACATACACACAGGCAATACACTCGTACACATAAAATAAAAATAATAAAATATTTTTAAAAAATTTTTTGATGTAATAAAATAAATTTAAAAGCCATAAACAAACAAATAAATAAATAATAAATACAGAAAAGTGATACATAAATAAATAAAACAAACATTTGTTTGGAAACCCTGACAAATGATTCTTTAAACCTTAAAAAAACTTGCCCAAGGTTCAGACCCAGCTTAACCAGGTAATAGTTTTTATAAAGCTGGATTTGATGGCACATGCCTGTAATCACAACACTTGGGCAAGAAGATCATGCCTTGAGGCCAACTCATGCCTGAGTTACACAGTGAGGTGCTATCTTGGGAATGGAAAGGGAAGGGAAGGGAAGGGGAGGGAGGGGAGGGAGGGGAGGGGAGGGGACGGGGGAGGGAAGCATTCTTTATAAATCCACACTTTTTGTTACATTTGTGGGTGTTTGTGGCTTTTTTCCCAACAGGGTCTCACACCATAGCCCAGATTAACCTGAAATTTACTACATAGCCTAGGCTAACCTCTAACTTGCAGTAATTCTCCTGCCTCAGCCTCTTGAGCTCTGGATAACAGGTGTATGCTACCTCACCTGTCTATAGTGATAATTCTGTGTATGTGTGTATTGTATGCATGTGTGTACATGTATGTGCATGTGTGTGTGCACAGGTGTGTGGAGGCCAGAGGTCGATGTCACATGTCTTCCTTGACCACTCTCCAGTTTATTTTTTTTGAGGCAAGGTCTCTCATTGAACCTGGAGCTCACCAACTCAGCTAGTGTATGATCAGCAAGACCCAACAATCCTCTTGCCTCTGTCCCACCTGCCCCTGAGATTACAGATGCACACAGCCAAGCCTGGCTTTTTACCGGAGTGCTGGGTATGCCCGCTCAGGTCCTCATGTTTGCATGGCAAGCACTTTACTCACTGAATTAACTCCCCAACCCCTTGGATTATTCTTACCTTTTGAATTTCATCAATTAAAATTCATTGAGAACTTGTTACTTGAGTATGGGTGTGATGTCCTAGCCTTCCCTGAAACAATTCCTGACTGAACCTTTCTAGAGAAAACTGCTGGTCCATAAGAGAGGGAAGTTATTGGTTTTGCAAGTTTTGTCCCAAAGTTCTTCCAGGTATCATTCAAAATTTTAGAAGGGAAACCCACAAGGTTGGACAGGAACAACACATGACAGATAATGAATGGAGAGATAAATGGCCAGAGTGGATGGATGGATCAGTGGGTGGGTAGATGGGTGGATGAATGGATAATTGGATGGGTGAGTGGGTGGGTGGGAGAGTGGATGGGTGGGTGTTGGAGTGGTTGGATGGAAGGATGGATAGGAGGATGGATGGATGGATGGATGGGTGGGTGGATGGGTGGGTGGATGGATGGATGGGTGGGTGGATGGATGGGTGGATAGATGGATGAATGGATAGGGGATCGATGGATGGATGGAAGGAAGGATGGGAGGATGGATGGGTGGATGGATGGGTGAATGTGTGGGTGGATGGATCGGTGGATGGATGGATGGATGGATGGGTGGATGGATGGGAGGGTGGGTGAATGGATGGATGGGGGGATGGATGATGGATGAATGGACAGATGGATGGGTTGGTGAAAAATCACCTTGCAACTCACTGAAGAGAGTGAGTTTCCAAAGTTTCTGAAAATCAGTTCAGAGCATACCCTCCTGGCCAGGCAAGGACACTCACCCATGCCTCTGAGCTCCAGGGCAGGGTGGCACAGCTTGATGGCTTCTCTAATCAGATTGACCTCAGGGGAGTCCATGTGAGGGATGCACATGTCAAAGTCGTCCAGCAGGTCCTCAATGCTCCCAGAGATGCACCGGCAGAAGATCCAGTTCAAGTTTCCTGTGGAGGACAGAGAGAGGATATGGAGGCAGATACCTCCTGATGGCTCATTCTGGGGTTGGAGAATGGGCTCTTTCTGCCAGAGTTCTCGAACTCAGCAGCCTTGGCACTGAGGCCAAATGGTTCTCTGTGAGATACTGTATTCTCCGCTGTAGGACTTAGAGCCATGGCCTGAGCCTCTCTCCCAGATGCCACTGGCACCTTCACCTATGGGTGTGGCTATCAGAAACTTCTCCAGGCATTGCTGAGTTCTCCTGGGGGAAGAAGGTCCTTTGAGAATCACAGGAATGAATGAGTGGGTGGAATGTAGATCTGTAGACACACAGATGGGTGAGCAAATATATGGGTGGATAGACAGAAAGCTGGCTAGATGGGTAGATGGGTGAATAGATGATGGATGAATAATACATGGATGAATAAGTGGATATAAAGATGGGTGGATGGATAGATGGGTGGGTGGGTGGATGTATGGACAGAATGATAGATTGATGAATGAGTGGATGGGTGGATGGGTATGATGAGTAGGTGGGAGGATGGATGGTTGGTTGGATGGATAGATAGGTAGATGGACATATGGATGTAGTGGGGCATCCTGTGCCCTGTAGTGATGAGAAGCATCTACTCAGTAGATTTCTCTCCTCATCCTGACAACCAAAAATACCCACAAACACTGTCAAGTGTCCTGGGGTACAGAACCACCCTTCGGACAGCCTCTACCCCAGGAGGAGGAAGCATTTCTGAACTGGTCCTTTGCTCCTTCCAGGCTCCACAGTCAGGAGCAGCGGGGCCTTTGGGACTGTGCTGGATAGCTTTAGTGTCAACTTGACACACCTGGGTTGAGGGAGCCTCAATCGGGAAATTGCCTCTATTGGACTGACCTGTGGCCATGTCTGAAGGGCATCTTCTTGATGAGTGATGTGGGAGGCCCAGCCCACTGTGGGTGGTGCCACCCTTGGGCAGGTGGGCCTGTGTTGCATAAGAAAGCAGGCTGAGTAGGGGCCAGGGGAGCAAGCCTGTAAGCAGCGTTCCTCCATGGCCTGTGCTCCAGCTCCTGCCTCCAGGTTCCTGCCCTGAGTTCCTACCTTGGGCTCCCTGATGAACTGTGACCTGGGAGTTGTAAGACAAATAAACCCTTTCTTCCCCAAGTTGGTACTGGTCAGAGTGTTTTGTCACAGCAATAGAGAACAAACTAAGACAGTAATCCTCACGAACCCTTTCATGGTGGCGCTTACCCAGCACCTCCTGCTTCAGCTCTTCCGTGCGGCCCGCATGCAGCAGGTGGTAAGGCAGCTCCTTCAGCTTCCTCAGGTTGGCGACCGTGTCTGAGAACCACAGCGGCTGCGGGGCCACCTGGCAGGGGTGGGAAGGGCGTCAACATAAGTGCTTTCCTTTGCCCCACAACATGTAACCAGGTCTGCACCAGATGGTGCTGGATGGGAAAGGGACACAGTGGTAGACAGATACCCTACAGCTCCCCACAGTCAGGCTGGGTCAGAAGGAGGGACCTGGGGCTTGACCAGTTCAAGGATGGAGGTGTGTGGTGGGGGATATGGGAGTTCTGCTGGTGGTAGGGCATTGGAGCTGAGCAGAAGTCTGCCTGGCAAAATCCATGGAACAATGGCATTGCTAGGGACCATGGGGAGTGGTCCCCGCCACTCAGGAGTTAGAAGCAGGAGAGTCACCTTGGGAGCTCTAGGTCAATTTGGACAACATGGTAAGGCTGCATCTCCAAAACAGAAAAACAAAAGTACACAACAACGAAACCATAGAAAGCAAGACCCCAGGGGGCTGGAGAGATGGCTCAGCAGTTAAGAACACTGGTTGTTCTCACAGAAGACCCAGGTTCGAATCCCAGCACCCACATGGCAGCTAACAACTGTCTGTAACTCCAGTCCCAGGGGATCCATGGCTTCTTCTGTCCTCCGTGGGCATTGTACGACATGGGTGCACTTACCTACATGCAGGCAATACACTCATACACATAAAATAAAAATAATAAAATATTTTTAAAATTTTTTAAAAAGCAAGACCCCAATAACACAGGGAAAGCACAGGAAGTGTGAAAGAGCAGTGCAAAGAGCAGCGAGAGCAGAGGCCTGGACAGTAAAGCAGGAGGAGAGTCAGGAGCTGGAGGCAGGGAGCGGATCCAGAGAGCACTAGATATCAAGCCAGCAAGGCCAGTCTGGAGATGGAGCTATGGGAACTATGGGAGGTGTTACCAAACTGTATTCTCGGAAATGTTCCTTATGAAGACAGTGAAGCGGGAGGTTTTGAAGGGGCTGGGGCTGGGGAGAAGTAGGGAGGCCCTGGAAGCCTGACAGAAGTGGAGGCATTCAGCTGGGCTTAGTCAGGAACACACATGCAATATTCAAGCTATGGAGGGCACAGCTTGGCGCTGGCAGGCACATGAGGACAGGGAGGGATGGTGAGCAAGGCTGGCAGGAGTGGGTCTTCCCTTTGATTTCTTCTATGTATTCCTCAGTGAAAACACGCACCGTGCGTGCACGTGAGGTTGACATTAGGTGCCTTCCTCAACTGCTCTCCAGCTAAGTTTTTTTAAAATTTTGATTTGTTATTTTTATTTTATGTGTATGATGTATTGCCTGTATGTGTGTAAGTGCACCTGTGTTGTGCAATGCTGTGGAGGTCAGAAGAGGAGGTCAGATTCCCTGGAACTGGAGTCACAGACAGTTGTTACCAGACATCTGGTCCTGGGAACTGAACCTGGGTCCTCTGCAAGAGCAATCAGTGCTCTTCACCACTGAGCCATCTCTCCAGCCCCTCCCCAGTTTAGTTTTTGAGACAAGATCTCTTGCTGAACCTGGAGCTCACCAATTATGCTAGATTGTTTGGCCAGTGAGCCCCAGGGATCCCTGGTCTCTGCCATCTCAGCGTTGGGATTACAGTCAATTGCCATTGTGCCCAGCTTTTTAAAAATGAGATTTTTTGGGGGCTTGAGAGGTGGTTCAGTGGTTAAGAGCACTGGCTACTCCTGCAGAGGACTAGGTTAGGTTCCCAGCACCCACACGGCAGCTAGCAACTGTCTGTAACTCCAGTTCCAGGGTACCCAGTGTACTCTTCTGGCTTCTGTGGGCACTGCACTCACTTGCACATAACCACAGACACAGATACAGACACAAACAGACACACAGACGCACACACACACAAAAATATACATAATCAAAAATAAAGTAATATCTTGGAGAAACAATAAAAATTGCTGTTCAAGTCACTGATTTGTCATAAAAAGGAAAACTATTTCAAGAATTTTGTCTTGGGATTAGGACAGAATTTCTAACAGTGTCTACTGCCATTTTACACTCTGTCTATGGGAAGCAGATCTCTCACCATCGATGGGTACCAAAGCAAAACATCAGATCCTCAGCATCAAATATTCAGCCAAAATGCAATTTTTATGTTAAAAAGCTTGTGCATCTCATTAGTATGCGAATTATGGGTTTCCTCTTTGGAAAGTTGGGAGGCATGTGTTCCCCATGTACAGTGATGCCTGAACCCACAAATATGTTCAGGGGCTGAGGGGGCATCTCCTCATCAGGCGAAGGGAACTGAAGTGGATCCAGAAGGTGTTCTGGGTAAGAGAGAGGGGCAAAGACAACCTAGTGGGGCCAGCTCACCTTTCGGTCCAAGTTCAGAGGCTTCCCCACCAGTGGCAAGGTGATGAGTTTCTTGGTGCCTTGGCTCCAGGCTCCAGAGAAGAAGTTGGCCAGCACACTGTGCCTTTTGGCTTTCTCGGGCCCAGAAAGGTAGCGCACTTGGACCACCTCCACTAGCTGTCTGCCAAGAAAGGACATAGCTGATGGCCCAGAGAGCCAAGCAAGCTCAGCAATAGAGTCCCGGTGCATGGTTCAAGGGTAGAGCCCCTGCCTAGAATCTCCCATTGAGGGACTGAGGGCGTGGCTTAGAGGTAGAGTGCCGCCTAGGATCCCCCAGTGAGGGGCTTGGGGTATGGCTCAGAGGTAGGACACTTACCTAACACACAAACAGAAAAACAGACAAGTTGGCTCTGGAAGGTTTTTTGTTGGGACCTGGTTTGTGCCACCTTGACTGAATGAGTTCGGAACAAGGAACCAATGATTTGGCTAGCAAGCTTTTGTTCTCGGGGTCCCAGGCAGCCTCTGTCCCTGCCCAGGACCTACCTATGTGCGATGGCCAGCAGCATGCATCCATCCACCGGCCTCCGTGTCAGACAGTGTTCCAGGTCCCGTCGGAGACGCACCCACAGTAGGGGCGGGAATCGCAGTACCTCCTTGCTGGGGGGAGTCCAGTCCTGGTACACAGCCTGCAGGACCTCATCATCCAAGGACAACACATCTTTCAGCTCCGCCTCTGAGAGACCATGCCTGGGGAGAGAGGGCACAACACACTGACCTCTGTATGGGGAAGATGCGTGAGGGGAACCTTGAGCAGACATCTTTCAGCAGGGAACTCAGGATCGGTGTTTAGATAGCATCCCAAGGGTACCAGGGCCTGGTTACTGCCCGTCCACCAAGCAGGACCACTGTGACGGTTCTGCTATTTACACATCTGCAGAATGCTGGACCATCCACTCACCAAGCTCACAGGGGTCTCAGCTGGGCGTGGTGGCTCACACCTGTCATTCCAGCAACCCAGAGATGGAGGTCATCCTCAGCTATATAGTGAGTTCCAGGTCAACCTGGGCTACATGAGGTTCAGTCTCAAATTTTTCAGAAAGGGCTGAAGAGACGGCTCTGCAGTTAAGATAATTTCCTGGTCCTCCAGAGAAGCCACATTTGCATCCCAGCACCATGTCTGGTGGCTCACAACCGTGCACAGACACACAGACACACAAATAAAAGTAATTAAAAATAAAAATGGAGGCTGGAGAGATGGCTCAGTGGTTAATAGTGCTTGCTGCTCTTACTGAGGACCCAAGTTCAGTTCCCAGCACTCATGTCAGGCAGCTCACAACCTTCTGGAACGCTAGCTCCAGAGGATCTGACACCTCTAGCCTCCAAGTGCGCCTACACACAATTGCACATACCCTCCCCGCATATACACATATTTAAAATAATAAAAATATGTCAAAATAATTTAAAATAGGGGGGCTGGAGAGATGGCTCAGTGGTTAAGAACACTGGTTGTTCTTTCAGAAGACCCGGGTTCAAATCCCAGCACCCACATGGCAGCTAACAACTGTCTGTAACTCCAGTTCCAGGGAATCTGACAGCTTCTTCTGACCGCTGTGAGCATTGCATGACACGGTGCACTTACCTACATGTAGGCAATGCATGCATACACATAAAATAGAAATAATAAATAGAATTTTAAAATGTTTTAAATACAATTAAAAAAGACCAGAGATGATAAGCTGGGACATATGAACTTAGTATGCATAGCATATATGCATGCATTGTATCCTTCATGTGGTGTATGAAGTCCATGGCAGGCATGGATTCTAAAATGCATTCTATTGGGCTGGTGCTGTGGCTCAGCAGGTAAAAGCATTTGCTACCAAGACTAATGACCTGAATTTAATTACTGGAACCTACATGGTAGAAAGAGAGATCCAACTTCTGAAAGTTGCCCTCCAACCTCCACACTGTGGAGATGTGTGAAGGGCAACTCCCCCTCTGTGGGATGTGTTTCCACACACAAATAAATTATAATTTAAAAAATTAAATTTATTGGCTGGGCATTGTGGCACATACCTTTAATCCCAACATTCAGGAAGTAGCAGCAGGTAGATCTCCATGATTTTGAAGTCAGCCTGGCCTACACATCAAATTCCAGTCAGCCAGGGCTACATAGTCAGATCTTACCTCAAAAATATTAAAATTTATTGCTGGGTGTGGTGGTGTACACCTTTAATCTCAGCACTTGGGAGGCAGAGGCAGATAGATCTCTGTGAGCTCAAGGCCAGCCTGGTCTACATAGTGAGTTCCAGGTCACCTGGGGCTACAGGGAGACCCTGTCTCAAAAAGACCAAATTTTTTAAAAATTTATTACATTGTATTAATATATGAATAGTTAGATTAATTATTATTACTATATTATCAATATATGCTATACATATTAGTGATATAGTATGTTGGTTGTAATATATTGTTGCTATGCTACCAATATTGTATGTCAATTATGTGAATATATTATGCCATATTAATCACAACACATTGTTCATTAGTTGAATATTGTGCTACGTGACAGTATTACTGCTAGACTAATATATGCCATATCATTATACAATGAGTAACCAAATGGCTGTATACTGTAGAGTACTATATACTGTGTACATGCACACAGAGTTCTCTGGGTGAGCTGCCCTCTGCACACTACACTGCTGAGCAGGAGCCTGGTCACTGCAGAGACAGAGGCAGGTGGATCTGTGAGTGGGAGGCCAGCCGGTTGCAAGTGAGTTCCAGGCCAGCCAGGGCTGTATACTAAGATCATGACTCGAAACAAAAATAAACATTTATTTTCAGGGCTAGAGAGATGGCTCAGCAGTTAAGAACACTGACTGTTCTTGCAGAAGATCCGAGTTCAAATCCCAGCACCCATATGGCAGCTAACAACTGTCTGTAACTCCAGTTCTAGGGGATCCGACAGCCTCTTCTGACCTCTGTGGGCACTGCATGATACAGGTGCACTTACCTACACACAGGGAATACATGCATACATATAAAATAAAAATAATAGAGCCGGGCATGGTGGCGCATGCCTTTAATCCCAGCACTCGGAAGGCAGAGGCAGGTGGTTCTCTGTGAGTTCAAGGCCAGCCTGGTCTACATAGTGAGTTCCAGGACAGCTGGGGCTACAGGGAGACCCTGTCTCAAAAAAGACCAAAAAATAAAAATAAAAATAAAAAATAAATAAAAATTTAAAAAACAAAAAACACTTATTTTCTTTTTAAATGTGTGTGTGTAAGTGTGCATGTGTGTGTGTTTGCGTGCATGTGTATGTGTGTGTGTGTGTTTTGGCTCAAGGAGGCCAGAAGACGGTGTTGGATCTCCTGGAGCTGGAGTTACAAGTGGTTGTGAGCTGCCCAACATGGGTTCTGGGAGACAAACTTGGGTTCTCTGCAAGAGCAGTACGAGTTTTTAACCACCGAGCCATCTCCAGCCCCAGGAGCCCTGCACTGTAAATGTATCTCTGCACTACCCTGCCACACATCACTGCCTTGTGTAGACAACGTATATTTGCAGGGACATGCGACAACTCTGATCTTCTCCAGGTGTCACCTTCACGTACCACCTCCAAGGGGGCCGCAGGAGGGTGAGTCTCCGCTGCATGGAGAGCCGATTAGTTTCTGCCTCCTTGGATTTGGGCATTGGGAGTCAGACAACGAGCCGGTAGGATGGTACCCGGCTCCTGATAAATGAATTGATGGTACTATGAAGCTTCAGGGTTGGGTGGGAAGACTAGAGAAGCCTGTGTTCAAAGAGAACTCAGAGGCAGGGTGGGGGGGGTTGAGAAGCTGATGCCCAGTACTTTCTGGTTTCCATAACAACTTGGCTTCCTCCACATAGACTTCCCATGTAGACTGATGCCACTGTCTACTGGAGAGCACCCCACAGGGTGACACTGTACAGAGTCCAAGCTTGTTGAGGAGTGTGTGTTAGAGCCTTGAATCTAGGCCCCATCTCCAGAAGCAGCCAGAGGGCTGTGCTTCCTGATTTCACACTGCAATTAAGCCCTTATTTCTTTTTGTTTGTTTACTGATTTTGCAACAGTCTTACTCTGTAGCCCAGGCTGGCCTTGGACCTCACTAACATCCTGCCTCAACCTCTTGAGTTTTGGGATGACAGATGTGCACTGTCATGTCCAGCAGACTCATTTCTTATTTCTTTGCTTTTTGTTTTTCCATGTATGTGTATGTATGTTTGCATGTGTAGGTGATTGTGTACACATATGTGTGTGTGGGGTATGCACATGGGTCTCTCAGTCCAATCCAGAGCTCGCTGATCTGGCTAGTCTGGCTAGCCAGCTTGCTCTGGGGCTACCCCGTGTCTGCCTTTTGAGGCTGGAATGACAGGCTGCCACCAAGCCCACCTGGCATGTGGAGGGTTCCGGTCCCCATGCTTGAGTCAGCACCTTACCCACAGAACTGTCTCCTCAATCTCCAAGCCCTTGTTTCTTCATGTTGGTGAATTGGTTAACTTCCTACACACACAAAATACAAACACACACACACACACACACACACACACACACACACACACCACCCCAGCTGGGCTGATCACCGCCATCTTGAACTTCTGGGAATAAGGATCTCTAAGAGCACAGACTGGAAATGAAAACCCATCCCAGCTCCAGATGTGGAGCATGCTTATCATCCCAACTGCTCTGTGGAGACAGGAGAGTCACACATTCAAGGTCAACCTGGGCTACAGAGTGGGTTCAAGACTACCCTGAGCAATTTAGTGAAACCTTATCAATCAATCAATCAATCAACAGAGAGCTGGGGATGTAGCTCGGTGGTAAAGGGCTTTCCTGGTGTGTGTGAGTGCATGGGTTCAGTCCCTCATACTACAGAGAAAGAGGAAGGGAGAGACTGGGGCAGGGAGGGAAGGCGAGCAGGAGGACGAGGAGGACGAGGAGGAGGCCGAGGTGAGAAAGATAAAGGTAAGCCAGGCAGCCAGCTGGTGGTCCAGTGTTTCCAACTGCTTCTTCTGTGTCTCCAACTGCCCTCCAGGAGGCCCAGCTGGGGAGAGACCCAGGCAGATGCTGCTTCCGATGGTGCCCCGGCTCTGCTGCTCAGTATTTCGGCCTTGTCCACACCCCACAGTTCTGAGTGCTGGCTGTTATCTTGGCTTCTTACAGTGACAAGCCTGAGACTGTCATCCCACCAAAGACTCTTTGAATAGCCTCCCTCCTCCATCCCTCCCTCCTCCATCCCTCCCTCCTCTATCCCTCCCTCCTCCATCCCTCCCTCCTCCATCCCTCCTTCCTGCATCCCTCCCTCCTGCATCCCTCCCTCTGCCATCCCTCCCTCCTCCATTCCTCCTTCCTCCATCCCTTCTTCCTCCATCCCTCCCTCCTCCATTCCTCCTTCCTCCATCCCTTCTTCCTCCATCCCTCCCTCCTCCATCCCTCCTTCCTCCATCCCTTCTTCCTCCATCCCTCCCTCCTCCATCCCTCCTTCCTCCATCCCTTCTTCCTCCATCCCTCCCTCCTCCATCCCTCCCTCCTCCATCCCTTCTTCCTCCATCCCTCCCTCCTCCATTCCTACTCCCTCCTTTCCTCCCTTCCATTTTTGTTTTTTTAATATTTATTTTTATTTTATGTGTAGGAGTGTATCGCCTGCATGTATGTGAGTGCACCTGTGTCATGGAATGTCCTTGGAGGTCAGAAGAGGGCATCAGCTCTCCTGGAACTGGAGTTA